GGTGGAGTTGTGGATAGTGCGGAAGAATGTTGCAGGTTACAGAGGGACATAGATAAGCTGCAGAGCTGGGCTGAGAGGTGGCAAATGGAGTTTAATGCGGAAAAGTGTGAGGTGATTCACTTTGGAAGGAGTAACAGGAATACAGAGTACTGGGCTAATGGTAAGATTCTTGGTAGTGTGGATGAGCAGAAAGATCTCGGTGTCCATGTGCATGGATCACTGAAAGTTGCCACCCAGGTTGATAGCGTTGTTAAGAAGGCGTACAGTATGTTAGGTTTTATTGGTAAAGGGATTGAATTTCGGAGCCATGAGGTCATGTTGCAGCTGTACAAAACTCTGGTGCGGCCGCACTTGGAGTATTGCGTACAGTTCTGGTCACCGCATTATAGGAAGGATGTGGAAGCATTGGAAAGGGTGCAGAGGAGATTTACCAGGATGTTGCCTGGTATGGAGGGAAGGTCTTCTGAGGAAAGGCTGAGGGTCTTGAAGCTGTTTTCGTTAGAGAGAAGAAGGTTAAGAGGTGACTTGATAGAGACATACAAGATGATCAGAGGATTAGATAGGGTGGACAGTGGGAGCCTTTTTCCTCGGATGGTGATGGCTAGCACGAGGGGACATAGCTTTAAATTGAGGGGTGATAGATATAGGACAGATGCAGAGGTAGGTTCTTTACTCAGAGAGTAGTAAGGGCGTGGAATGGCCTGCCTGCAAAAATAGTAGACTCGCCAACTTTAAGGGCATTTAAATGGTCATTGGATAAACATCTGGATGATAATGGAATCGTATAGGTTAGACGGGCTTCAGATTGGTTTCACAGGTCAGCGCAACATCGAGGGCCGAAGGGCCTGTACTGCGCTGTTATGTTCTATGTTCTATGTTCCATTGTATTTTAAGATATCCATCAGCAGGTCAGACGGCATCTGTGGAGACTAGCATTGTTAAGATTTCAAGTCTGTTGAATATGCCTAGCCTTTTTATTTGTAGTTTCTGCAATATTTTGCTTGTATAGTCATATCATTTCTTTGGCTCTATGCATATGTCTTAATGTTAAGCCCTCAATGAAAGAAACCCAGAGAAGATAAATATATAATTAAATTTTGAATGTTAGCTTGATTCTAAATATTGTGAAAGAAGATACCTATACAGTTACTTGTGTGGTATTTTACAGTTATAGAGTCATAAAGCATGGAAATAGACCCTTCGGTCCAACTAGTTCACGCCAACCATGTTCCCAAACCAAACTAATCCCACCTGCCTGCGTTTGGCCCATATCCCTCCAAATGTCTTTTAAACTTAACTGTAGCTGCATCCACAACTTCCTCTCGCAGTTCATTCCACACACTAACCACTCTCTATGTAAAACAAAAGCAGAAAAGTTGCCCCTCATGTCCTTTTTAAATCTTTTGCCTCTCACCTTTAAAAGGTTGCCCTTAGTTATGAATTCTTTCCCTCCCTCCTCCCAGAGAAAAGACCTTTGCTATTCACTTTATCTATGCCCTTCATGATTTTCCAAACCCCTATAAAGTCACCCCTCAACCTTCTATGCTCCAGTGAAAAAAAAGTCCCAGCCTATTTTTATAACTCAAACCATCCATTCCCGGTAGCATCCTGGTAAATCTTTTCTGAACACTCTCCAATTTAATAATATCCTTCCTATAACAAGGTGACCAGAACTGCACATAGTACTTCAGCAGAGGCCTCACTAACGTCCTTTACAACCACAACATGACATCCCAACTCCATAACTAAAAGGTCTGAGCAACAAAGGCAAGCGTGCTAAATACCTTCTTAACCACCCTGTCTACATGTGACACAAATTTCAAAGAATTACGTACCTGAACCCCTAGGTGTCTCTGATCTACAACATTACCCAGGGCCTTACCATTAATTGTATAAGTCCTGCCGTTGTTTGTTTTACCAAAATGCAAACTTTGTATTTATCCAAATTAAAGTTCATATGCCAGTCCTCAGCTCATTGACCCAATTGATCAAGATCCTGTCATACTCTGAAATAACCTTCTTCACTGTCCATTATACCACCAATTTTGGCATCATCCACAAACTTACTAATCATGCCTCCTATATTCTCATCCAAATTGTGTATATAAATGACAAACAAAAGTGGACCCAGTACTGATTCCTGTGTAACACCACTGGTTACAGGCCCCCGTCAAAAAAAAACAACCCTCCCACCACCACCCTCTGTCTCCTACTGTCAAGCCAATTTTGTATCCAGTTGGCAAGCTCACCCTGAATCCCATATGATATAACTTTACTAATTAGTCTACCAGGCAGTATCTTATCAAAGGCTCTACTAAAGTCCAAGTAAACAACATCTACTGCTCTGCCCTCATCAATCTTCTTGGTTACTTCCTCAAAACAAACCAAATCAAGTTTGTGAGAGAAGATTTTCCTTGCGCAAAACCATGCTTACTATCCCTAATCATTCTTTGCCTCTTCAAATGCATGTAAATCCAACCATTCAGAATCACCTCCAACAACTTAACCACCACTGATGTCAGACTCACAAGTCTATAGTTCCCTGGCTTGTCCTTACAGCTTTTCTTAAATAAAGGCACAACGTATTAGCCACCCTCCAGTCCTCTGGCACCTCACACATGGTTATAGATTATACAAATATTTCTGCTAGGCTCCTGCACATTCTTCCCTAACTTCCTACAATGTCCTAGGATACAATTAATCAGGCCCTGGAGATTTATCCACCTTTATTTTTCTAAGACTTCCAGCACTTTCTTTTCTGTAATGTGAACTGTTTTCAAGACACCAATTGTTAAATTACCTGCATAAAAATCAAAATGGGATATTTTACCCAGAACTCTGTAAATGTGAAATTTTCACTAATTCCACTCCTGTGATATGAAGTATATAGCGAAGAGCATTCCTTATTTATATCACAAGAACTTTAGCATTGTGTTTTATTCCTGGCTGTAATTGACTAGCAATTTTTAAAAATGCATAATGACAAGATATAGCCAAAAAATTTGTACTTTCTCTCCTTCCTCTATTCAGTATTAAGCTTAAATGAGTTTAAAAGCTGTAGTTACGAAATCAGCAAGTTTCACCATGCTCTCAAATGCAGGTACAGATACAACATTTAAAAGATATTTGGACCGGTACAAGAATAGGAATGGTTTAGAGGGATATGGGCCAAACACAGGTAAGTGGGTGATAACACAGTGTGGAGCTGGAGGAACACAGCAGACCAGGTAGCATCAGAGGAACAGGAAAGCTGATGTTTTGGGTCGGGACCCTTCTTCAGAAAAAAAGGGTCCCAACCTGAAATGTCAGCTTTCCTGCTCCTCTGATGCTGCCTGGCCTGCTGTGTACCTCCAGCTGCACGCTGTGTTATCTCTGACTCCAGCATCGGCAGTTGTTGCTATCTCACAGGCAAGTGGGACTAGTTTAGTTTGGGAAACTTCGTTGGTATCAATGGTTTCGACCTAGGAGTCATACAGCACAGATACAGACCCTATGACTATGATTTTCCAGCAATTTCTGTTTTCTTTTTCATGAATCGTGGGTGGATGTTGTGTATGTTGGGGGCTGTTTCATTGTATAGTTAGACATTAATGGGGAAAAAAATAATGTGCTTAACATTTCCACAAATATCCAGATAAGCCATATGTGCAAAGTCTCCGAATTTGCCTCAAAATCAACAGACTTTTTCAGAAGGCATTGGGGAGCAGGGAAATTGCCTGTAGGAGGTTCAAACTTCTTGAGCATTTCTAGCAGAGCCAGTGTAGTGGGTCTTGCATGGGGTTCTGATGCACAACTGTGGTCATTCTCTAGTCTCCAGCTTTAAGATCTGGGCCAACATCATTGGATATTGCTTGTTAATTCATGAGAATTGAGAAACTTTGTTTGTTAAGTCATTTCCCCTTGTATTTTATCATTCACTGATCCAGAGCAGATAAAAGCTCTGCTCTCACAATTTTTCTATTCTTAAGTAGTCTCCTCTTTACTATGTTAATTTAAGTGTAACATAGCTTCATTCCATGCCACCATCTGCATTATTTTTGGGACTGTACCCCCAGAGGTCTCAGCATGCTAACACCCTCAAGTGAGGAATTTTAATTTTCTGGCTAGAGCGAAAGAGCTCAATTGTAAAACCAAGCAACTTTTGGAATGTATTCAAGACATTATTTCAAGAAGTGTGTTTTAGAACTAACCATGGAAAAGACCTCCATGGGCTTAGTGATGAGCAATGAACCAGAATTAGTTAGCAATCTAATCATTGACTATAATGTGATTGAATTTGTTGTTAGGTTTGAGAGGGATGAGAAATGGTCATGAACTGTGAGGAAACTTCAAATGGATAAGAGGTGAATTAATTGAATTAATCTCAGATGAACTGTTAAGGATGAAACGAAAGACGAGCAGTGACAAGTATCTTTGGAATTCTCAACTCCAGAGGCCAGTGGTTGCTCAGCTGTTAAGTATATTCAAGAATAAGGTCAACAGGTTTCTTTAATCTGAGGGAATAAAGTGATATGGCGATTTGGCAGGAAGGTGGAATTGAAATCAGATCAGCAATATTGGAAGAAGCTTGAGAGATGAAGGGCTGAATGGCCTACTCTTGTTCTTTCATGTTGTTCTTATACCAAATACTGTTTTGAATGAATGAAACAAAATCCATGCATGCACAGAGGAAACAAAGGTTCTACTTGTGTAGTTAATTAACCATGGTGAGCAAATTCAGCAAGGACTCAAGCGAAATGCCTAACAACTGCCAGGAAATGTGGAAATCTAGCAGACATGGAGAGTTATAAAAAGCACCTAAGGAAGGGAAACAAAAGTAATTTGATGCAAAGAGAAAATATGAAAATAATTTTCAGGAAAATAGCAAAACACGTTATGAGTATGTTGAGAAGTGTGTTAACGAGATAAGTGGGTCCATTAGAGACAGATATAGGCAAAACTACAATGGTTAGTAAAGAAATGACATTCTGACAAAATGGGAATTTCTTGTGTGTTCACAGTGAAGGAAGGCAGAACAATACTAATACTACAAGGAAATGTAAAAATAAGTCAAGGGGAGGAACTGAGTGGATTTACATGTGCTTCAAACTTGTAATGGAGAAAGTAATGGAGCATAAGAAAAGAGGATTGATGTAACTGCTCCCAGGTGAGAAAAGTGCAGATTTGTTAGTCATAATTTTTCACAACTCTTCAGATTCAGAAATTGTGCCTTTTTTTTCCTGACAATTGCAGAGGTCAAATGCTTGAGAGGGAGAAACCAAGTCACTAGAGACCTGTGCGTTTAATATCAGTGTGAGAAAGTTACTCAATGCATGGGAAGACAGGAAGCTCAGAGGAACAGGGAGATCTCAGGGTGCTTGTCCATAGATCCCTGAAGGTCGCAGGACAGGTTAATAGGGTGCTTAAGAAAGCATACACTTCACAAAATCACAGAAACCCTACAGTGCAAATAGAGTCTGTACCAACCCTCTGAAGGGCATCCCACCCAGACTGACCCAGTAACCCTACATTTATCTTGGCTAACCCACCTACCCTGCACTTCCCTAGACACAATGGGACAATTTTACCATGCCCAATCCACCTAACCTGCTCATTTTTGGATTTTAGGAGGAAACTGGAGGAAACCCATGCAGACACAGGGAGAACGTGATAACTCCACACAGGCAATCACTCAAGGCTGGAATCGAACCCAGATCTCTGGTGCTGTGAGGCAGTAGTGCTAACCACTGTGCCACTGAATTGACCACTTGTCCTTATCAGTCAAGGCATAGTTTAAAAGAGCAAGGAAATCATGTTGGACCTGTGCAAAACTTTGGTTAGGTCACAGTTGGAATAATGTTTGCAGTTCTGGTCACCACACTATTGGAGGGATGTGATTGCACTAGAGGAAGTGCAAAGGAGATTTATCAGGATGTTGCCTGGTATGGAGGACTTCAGCTATGAAGAGAGGCTGATATGTTCAGGTTTTTCTTTTGGAGCAGAGAGGGGAGTAGAGGTATATGAGATTGAGGGGAAAGAACTGGTTGAATAGAATTTAGCTGTTCACCTTTGTTGAAGGGTCAATAACAGGAGAGTGTAATCTTAAAGTGAAAGGCAGAAGGTTTAGAGGAGATTTGAGGAAAACACTTTTTTCACCCAGTGGGAGCCTAAATGCAGTGTCTGGGTAGATAGTTGAGGTAGGAAACCTCACAACCTTTTAAAAGTTTTCGGATGAGCACTTGAAGTGTCAAAACATTCAAGGCTATAAGCCTACTGTGGGTAAGTGGGTCTTGTAGGCATTAGTATATTTTGGCAGTACAGACGTGATGGGCCGAATGGCCTCTTCCATTCTCTATGTTTCTATGAATATATCATCAGGCACGGTGGTGGGGTACTACGGACAAATATCAATACGGTGTCAACGTGATTTCATGAAGGATAGGTTAATCGAGATGGGGCGGAGAGTGACGTTGGATGACACTTTAAAAATATCTTTGTTTTGCTTTTTAAAACTGGATCTGAAAACTCAAGTTAATTGACTGTATGGATGAACTGGAAGTATATTAGTTTAGTTTTGCCTCTCCTTTCCTCCCTATCTCATTCTCTTCCTCAAACACTTTCCTTCCTCGCCATCCCCGGAATAACATTCAGAACTCTGTATGTTGTGCCACGGATCAAGACAAGATCATAAGAATAGATTGTGAAAACTGTGGACTTTAAAGAAAATCTCTTCTATTTATTGATCAGAAATTAGTGTTAACCTAAGATTAGCTTTAAGGTGAATTGGTTTAATGATCAGCCTTAGCATTGAAATAGCCCATTCCACTTGCTTTAATAAGAGATGGTGGGGAAATAATAGGTGTTTGAGACTTTGACTCACCTGACAGAATTTGTAGGCCAAAAGTGAAAGTGGCAGGTGAGCCACTTCCAGAGGTCTGTGTTAATTTCAACAGTGTGGAGCTGGGGGAACACAGCCGGTCAGGCAGCATCAGAGGAGTAGGAAAGTCGACGTTTTGGGTCAGGATCTTCTTCAGCCTACTCCACTGATGCAGCCTGATCTGCTGTGCTTCCCCAGCTCCACACTGTATTGACTCTGACTCCAGCATCTGCAGTTCTTGGTATCTTCTGCCTGTGTTAATTTATTTTGATCGATTCAGTACTCAGACTATTATTCAAGAAAGGAAAAATTGTTACAGAATTAATTCAAAATTCTGAACAATGATTTACTGTCTGGTTTGGATGCATTGTTCAGCTCCTTCCATGTTTATGGTTCAAGCAGGCAGTTGAACCTTTTGAACATTATGCTTTAATTATATTTTCTCAGATCAATAATTAGGGTCATATGTCCAAATAAAGAGACCAAACTAAATTTTAACAAGAACTGGTGAATGCTTTTCATAGTGCCTGCCAACTAAATCATATAAAAGCAAAACACTGCAGACGCTGGAAGTCTGAAACAAACACAGAGAATGCTGGAGAAATACAGCAGGTCTGGCAGCATCTGTGGAGAGAAAAAGAGTTAACGTTTTGAGTCCGGTATGACTTTCTCAGAACTGACTGTTTTCTCATAGACCTGCTGAGTTCCTCCAGCATTCTCTTTTGCTTTTGAACTAACTTGGATACTTGGTTTCAAATCCATGCACTCTGTAACTTGTGTAAAATATGTATGTTCTGTTAGGAATTTATTGTCATCTGTTATTATAGTTTTGTTTTATTATTCTTGAGATATGGTAACATTGGCAAGACTGCATTTATTGCCCAGCCTTGTTTCGCTGGTAAGATGGTAATTGACTGACATTTTAGCCACTATAGTCCAGGTGGTGATGGGTAACCTCTAAGTAGTATTAGTTAAGTAATGCAGTTGTCAAATGAAGGACCAGGTTAGCATCATAATTTTTATCTGTATGTGGTGATCCTTTTCTTCTTTTATTTTTGTCTTTTCTTTAAAGACTATACATACTGAGGTGAGAAGCATCATGGGCAACAATGTTATTTATAGAAAAAAAACTTTCAAGACTTACTTTGACAACTGGAATGCTCTCCATGCATAATTTTCAGCACAACTGTCTTCCCCCGGAGTAAATTTCATAGTCTAGTGGTGCTCACATGTCAGAAGACGCGTTAGAGCCACGTTAATGAACAAAGACCCAGGTTCAGTCTTCCGTCTTCCCATTTGTAGAAGACAAAAACAAGAGGGCACAGTTATGATGTCATTTCTAAAAGAACCAGTTGTATTGTGAGACAAAACGTTTGCATAGCAAGTATTTAGGGTCCACAGTGAACCACTTGGAAATGTAGTGGAGACAGGTTCAATGAAGACATTCAACAGGGCATTAGGTGATTGTTTCTATTCAAACAATATGTAGTGTTATGCGGAAAAAGGCAGGAGAATGGCACCAATTCATAATGTTCATTTGGAGAGCTGGTGCAGATGAATGGACTGAGTGGCCTCCTTTTTCACTATGGTAATATTGGCGTTCTGAAATATCAATGACAATGACTATGTAAGTGTGGGATTGTTGTAAAATCCCATTTGGCTCACTCATGTCCTTTAGTAAAGAAAACATTCTGCCCTTGCCTGGTCTGATTTTAAGCCCACAGTCTGACTCGCAACTGCAGTCTGAAAATGCCTAGCAACCATTTGGCTAATGGCAATTGGGGTCGAGCAATAAATGCTGGCCTTGCCACTGACTGCTATAGCATGTGAATAATTTTTTAAATGTAAGACACTAATCTGGAACTGCAGGCCTAAGAGTTAACCTTTTACAGAGCTTCAGAGCTTGTATTTGGAGTTCATGCAGCTGGGTGCATCATGAAGTTCTACTCCTTAATGTGCTTCTTATGTCTGTTTATGTGTTTTTGGTTATCACACAGCCTGTTCTGTGGCTCACCAATTGGCATCATCCTGAAACGCTGAAAGAATAAATGCAGATGAATTATCAAATCTAGGACACATGCTTATTTCTAAGTGGTCTACAACCATTGAGGAAATGGAAGTGGAGTTGGGAAAAGATCACCCGGAAGACTGGGAGGATGATTTCACAGTTTGGATATCTTTCAAGGGGAGCATAAAGGATGCTGATTTTGTGAATAAGCTAAACATGATCATTGCTAATATGTCATGCCTTCTGGAGATGGGTAAGAATTCTATTCAAAGGATTAATCTTTTCAAATCAGGCAATCGGAATTAATTGCGTAGAAAGTACATATATTTTGAATGTTATTCCTTCCTACCATTTTGAACTTGTTTTTCATTGCTGTTATGGACCAGACCAAACCCCCTCAACATATATTACGATAGCCTAGCTCCTACCTTTTTTTTTTAAGGGTAAGTGTAAGGCGTTGCATTCCAGATGCAATGCGATTGGTCAAATAACTCTATTTTAAGCGAAACATACTTTGTATTTTAACTGTTGTGTAAAAATAGACAAAATGAAAAGAAAACAATTGGCTTAACTGTAACTATTAAAATGCATAACAAAATAATATGTGTTAACTACTACTAAATGATTGTTCCAATATAGTAACATCCCATAAACACACTCTTGGGCGAAGACAAATTCAGTAAAATAGATTGTCTTACATGCAATTCTAGCAGTAGGAAGAGAAGCCCAGTTTTTAGCTGTAACAGAGAGGAATGACAGCTTCCACATCAAGCTTTAATACCCCAGCAACCGCAGAAAGCTAAAACTAAATATCCTGGTTCTGGGAGCTTGACCCCACTCATGCTGCTTCTATTGTTCCAACTTTTTAAAAAAAAAACAAGGCCTCACAAGCTGTTTACTCAGTTGGCTTAGAGCAGGCTGCTCAGTACTTCTGTCTCAACTTTTCTTCATAAAACGGAAAGGACAAAATACACCTCTAAGCCATAGTATTGTCAAATTACCTATTAAACTTTAGAGATGTCAATTACAATTCTAGTCATTTTTATTTCGTTTTGTTCTAATTAGTGTTCCCCTATCCTGATATGCGTTCTTTCATTTGCTAGTCAGTCAGTGAATGATGAAGATACCAGTGTAAAGATGTTTGATCTAGCCAGTCCTGCATTGAAGTAAATTTGGTAGTAGTCAGTCTGTTGAAGGTTCAAAAGTTGGATTGAAAAGTCCACATGGACACATTATGTTCAGACTGAGATGTGATTTGCTAGCTTTGAATACCAAAAACTCTGTTTCTGAGATGCCACCTAAAACAATCACTTTTCCATTTTTCAAGTCCCTGTATTAAACAATTAACCTCTGACCAGAGGCTCTCTAATTAACAATGTGTCCTTTTAAAGCCATTGACCAATCTCCACCTCAGTGAAATGATATTAAGTTAAACCATGATATTTGCAAATGTTTCTTTTAATATCTTGAACAATTCTTTGGGAAGCAAGTACCAAATATCAAATATTTACTAACATTTTGACCAGATTCGGAGAAACTGAGGCCAGAGAAAGTGGAACCATGGAACAGCGTCCGTGTAACGTTTAATATTCCCCGTGAAGCTGCGGAGCGATTGCGACTGATGGCTCAGAATAATAATCAGCAGCTCCGAGATTTGGGCATTCTTTCTGTTCAGATTGAAGGTATTCCATCTATTTCCAACGTGTAATTAATACATTATTGGATGGGTGGACATTCTGGCTTGGATGTGCACAATTTCATCTAGGTACTGCAAATGGGTGTAAAGACACCAAGTGCAGCAGCTAATGTACTGTACAAAATCTGTTGATATATTCAGTTTCTACAGTGTTAGCGATGATTTACGATTATCAAAAATTTTTGCTTTTGGATGGAAATTAAGACAAGCAATTACTTATGTCAAACTTTTATTAACAAAGCTGGGTGTCAGGTTGAACTGTGAGTTGGATGCAGAGATACTTCAAAGTGATTTGAGCAAGTTGAGTGAGTGACTAAATGCATGGCAGATAAGGTATAATATGGATAAGTTTGATGTTATCCACTTTAGCAAAACCTGGAAGGCAGATTATTGCCTGAATAGCGATAGCTTGGAAAAGAGGACGGTGCATCAAGACCTGGGTGTCTTTGTAGACCAAATGCTGAAAGTAAATATGCAGGTACAGCAGGCAGTGAAGAAAATATGTTAGCCTTCATAGTGAGAAGATTTGAATATGGAAGCAAATGTGTCTTGCTGCCTTGGTGAGCCCATGCCTTGGAGTACTCTGTGCTGTTTTGATCTCCTTATCTGAGGAAGGATATTCTGGCTGTGGAGGGAGTGCAGCAAAGTTTACCAGACTGATTCCTGGGCTGAAAGGATTGACATAAGATTAGAGACTGAATCAATGAGGACTATACTTACCGGAGTTTAGAAGAATGAGTCTCATAGAAACTTATGAAATTCTAAAGGGACTTGTCAGGGTAAACGCAAGAAGGATGTTCCCAATGACTGGCGAGTCCAACATTGGGGTCACACTCTAAGGATATGGGTAGTGTGTTAAGATCAGGACAAACTTCTTCAATAGTGAGTCTGCAGAATTCTGTGCCACAAAAAGTGATTGAGGCCACAACATTGAATTTTTCACGAAGAAGTTATTGTTCTTTGGGCTAAAGGGATGAAAGGGTATAGGGAGAAAATGGGACAGGGTTCTGAGGTGGATGGTCAGCTGTGTCAGGTTGGTTGATGGAGCAGGCTCGAAGGGCTAAATGGCCTACTCCTATTTTCTATGTTTCTATACAGAACACTTCAAATATCTGAAAGTATTTTTAAAAAAAAAATGTTCTATTCCATTTCAGGTGAAGGAGTCATTAACTTGGCTTTAGGGCAGCAAAGAGGCCAAGAGATCAGAGTAAATGGGCCAGTGAATCAGATTAGAATGGAATCTGGATTTTCTTTACAAGGAGGCCAAGGTACGGAAAATATTCTTACTCCATGCACTTTTTAGAATGAGGTGATTGTATTGTTACTTTTTGAAAGAACTGGCAAATTAGATTCTTAGAAGTGCAATTTTGCACTCTTTTTATGAAGTGAGGTATATTTCCATAGGAGGGGGGCCGGGCAGGGTCTATTTGTAATATTGGCTCCACGGAAGGAGTGATTACATAAGTTATAAAATCACAGTTATGATGATAAAGACCATCTTTATTCATCTGTTCAGAAAATTGTTCCCTTAAGCATCTAATTGTTTTTTTAAATTATTCACGGGGTTTGTTTTCAGTAATTACACTGGATGTTGATTCCCCTTCTCCATTTCTGCACATTAGTAACATTGTAAAGTGCAATATTTAATTAAAACATCTGAATTAAATAAGCAGTGTGGTTTATGTATCTAGATCCCAACACATGATCAGCTGTCTTAAGAGAGTTGTAGTTCAAGTATAAACAGTAATCAAAGAAAGACATTGTCATATGGTTAAAGGACTAGACTAGGTAATGAAAGTAAGGTAAATTTTTTTGTTAGACTGTAAGATGCACCAGGATCTTAATAGAAAATATTTAGACATAACCTTCAGACCTTAAGACATTTGCCAATTTTTGATGTCTTACTCTTAAAAAAGTTGAGTCTTATGATCAAGCAAATATAATAACCAGGTGGATTTTAACTTTTCTCAACAAGGACAGCTGTTGACTATATTTTCACATGTCTTGATATAAGAATACTGAAAGTTTTTAATCTAAGGACCGCATGGTATGACAGAGTGAGATGCTGCAGAAAGAAGAAAATTCAAAGGCTTGCAAAATTGGCAGCATTATTGCCTGTGTTAATAACCACAAGGTAATACTCACTAGTGTTCAAAGTTATAAAGTTTAATATGTATCAAGATGATATTATGGCAGAAGTATGTGGTGCCAATTGCAATTTTTAATGAAATAATTATAATTCCATGTTCTTTTGTTGGAAAAAGGTTTGATCAGAGTGAACAACCCATCAGCTCCCATGGTTCCTTCAAGTAGCAACATGGCAGGTTCCTTAGTTAGTAGTGGAGCGAGTTCAGAACTACTGCAAAACAGAATACCACATTCCTCTACTCGATCCACCACACAGCCTGGTAAGGAGAGGATTTAGCATGTTAAAAAACTGTTTCTTACAGAGGCAGCACATGACGAGAGAGCTTTCTGAAGGATGTGTATCTTTCCCCTCTACTAAACTAGTTTAATAGGGGATTTGATTTGTACATATATTTTAATTGGTGTACATATTGCATAAAATACATTACATATTTCTAGCTCTTATACCTAGCTGTTTCAGGCTGTTACCATGCACTAGCAACTCAAATGGTGTTTGCCACTAATAGGATGCTGCAGTCAAGCTACAAAGATATACTGCCTATCACATGAGTCATGTGGCATATAAACTTCATTGCCCATGTGGTGCTAGGTACGCTGGCGGTACGTCGCAAAAACTAGCAAATCTTATCAAACAGCATATCCCTTCAGTGTTCACTACAGGCTGTACCTAACCAAACTGCACTTGCAAAACTTACAACCCAGAGTCTTAACTGTGACTCTTCAATTGAATAACATCAGCTGGATATCATGTGTGAAGAATTATAATGACAGTCAGTTTAGAATTAACAGTCAGGCTCACAATGTGGCACACCTGTGTATACTGGAAGCTGCATATATCAATACACAGGGTGCTGTTCTTTGCAGACAGAAAGAACATGTACAATGCACCTACTTCAACCCAACAAAATAGGTGACTGCCATTCGGTGGTTCATTTCTATGGCAGTTCCATGAACAATCAGTCAGTTTTCCTGGTTTAAAATTTAAATAAAGCCTATCAGTTGTCAATCATAATTAATTGGTGCATTCCATGTCGTCACCTCTCTGAATCTGAGTCTACTTGCTAAACAATCAGCACTTTCCTCTCATACAGTATCAATGTAGGCTCTCCTGTTTAATTGGTTAGTTTGCAAATTATCGTGATGAATAAAAGATGAAAAGTTTCAAAGAAATCCTTTGTTTTTAGCAATTGTCTTCACAGTTTGTAAATTCATTACATAATGGTGCCTGAATAGTATATCCTTATGAGTTTTAGATCATTTCTCAAATTAACTCCAACTTGGGTCTTCCAGCTGTTCGGCATAGAGCTTTTCTACTTGTAATTACTACGTAAACTGCTTTGTGCAAAGTACTAAACAGCTGTCGTTAAATAGTTCACTATTCATTTTCCAAGAGTATCAGTAAATAAGTTTACATAGTGGTTATTTAACTGACACTACATCTACAGGTTTCTTGTGGAGCACATTCATGTATTTATTTAAGTTATTCATACTAGTGTGATGTGCTGTGGCATAATAGATACAGATTCATATTTGCATATCCAAAAATATAAGGTCTCATTTTGTTGTTGTGTGAAAGAGAGGTGCTTTATAGAACTAGCAGAATGCACATTTTTCTGGATCAAATAGAAAATTATATGGAAGGACGTAAGAGACATCTAACGCAAATTAATAACCTTTCATATCTTGAATGGTGAATTGGCAAGCCTGAATGCATTAGTACCAGCCAGGAGCTATTTCTGCGAGGGACTTTTTTTTCTTTGTTAATTTTTCTACTTATTACAGGCATTTTCTGTCATATTGCAGCACTGGATACGTTCCAAATTTGTGGATTAGATATTTTCATGGGTTCAATGTCACTGGTCATTCCCATTAGTAGAATACCTATCCCTTTTTAAGAAGGGCATCTTATTTCAAGATATGGTTAAATGATGTGAGCTGGTAAATGAAATGTAAACCATTTCATCTATTGTGTAATGTCACTGTGCACTACTAAAATTCTTCTTCATGAAGGATTGACAGTAAAGCATTCAAGCTTACTACTATATTTTCCACACCTACCTGGTGTCAGAGGATAAGTGAGCTTGAGCCCTCTGATCCTTACTTGTACCTGGCAACAGCCAAGGGCACTAAATTAAATTAACCATTAAAGACAATGTTCAGTGAGTGAGGAACCATGTTTACTTAATTGTTCAGCTTGCAAATGATGGTGTAGTGATACTCTCCCTATCTCTGAGCCAGGAGACCAGGATTCAAGTCCCACCTGTTCCAGAGGTATCTAATAATACCTCTGAACAAAAACAGAAGTTGCTGGAAAAGCTCAGCAGGTCTGGCAGCATCTGTGAAGAAAAAGTCAGAGTTGACGTTTTAGGTCCGGTGAACCTTACTCTGAACTGGCATACCTCTGAACAGGTTGATTAGAAAATATCTGCAACTGATGACTGAAAACTTTGAAACCTGAATAAGTGTGGATGGCAAATCTTTTTCAAAAAGCTTAAAGGTTTAGGTTAGAGGCCATAGAAATTGTAGCTTCTTCCTGCAGTTCTGGGTAAATATTGAGTCAAAGTGTGATGTATTTCATTGAAGATGCACCATAGAAACTGAATCTAATTGTTACAGTAACATCAAATTTAAAAATGCAGCCTGGTGATAACAAATAAACCACAAAACTCTACAGATTCTGACGAAGAGTCATACTACACCTGAAACATTAACACAGTTTATCTATGCGGATGCTACCAGACCTGCTGAGTTTCTGCAGCATTCACTGTGTTTGTTATATATCTACAGGTGTCAATTTCAATATAGAAAGCAGTATTAGCTATGGAATAGCCAAATAGGAAACCTTTAATCATTTTATGCTGTTTGAAACTAAATGCATTTTCTTCTTTTTAAACAAGATATGGATTCTGTTTTGTCAACGCTAAACATTCAAGCATCAAGCCATCCCTCTGGATCATTGCCTTCACAGACTAATATTGTGCAAACGATGTCAACCAACCGGCAGATTGTCCCAGCCAACATTCAGCCTCATCAACTGCAAGGGGTGCGGTCTCCATTTAACCGGGCTCAAATTTCTATAGCTGCCACATGGAACCAAGTCCCAGCGGCAGCAATCCAGTCATCCTCTACACAGGGGGCCTTAGGAACATTGACAAATCAGATCTGGAAGAAGGCTCCTATGCCTGGACAAATGCAACCGCAGCAGCTTCAGGTCAGACCGTCCCTGGCTACTGTGCAGACGCCAGCTCACCCTCCTCCTCCATACCCATTTGGAAGTCAACAAACATCTCAAAGCCTTCAAACCTTTTCTCAACCTTGCAGCTCCCCACAGTTTGCATCGCCACCCCCTAAGAACCATCAGGGAGGACCTTCTCGAGTACCTACACCCTTGCAACAGCCTCATCTAACCAACAAGTCTCCAGTCTCGTCTCCTTCCTCTTTCCAGCAAAGCTCCCCTTCTTCTTCTCCAACAGTGAACCAGCCACAGCAGCATATAGGACCCAGGACACCTCAGAGCAGCTCCCTGCCTCAGACGTTTCAGCCAGCTGTGTGCCAGAGTTCTCCAAGTCGAGGTCCTGTAGTTCAGCAAGGAAATGTGCCTCCTGGGTTTATGATGCAAGCAAATCAGGTGGCACAGAGTTCCCATTCTGGAATAGGAAGTAAGTATTGACAAATTTTGAAAAAAAAATTGCCAGTAAAGAAATAATAGTGCATTTTTATTTTGAGAGATCAAGTCAAATGCTTTGGTAAAGAAAAATCTGAGGATGTGTAAACAATGTTGTGCATTGTGCACTCAATCCCTATGAACTTGCATATTTTCCAATTAGGCTCCAACGCTAATTAAAATAACTACTTTTGCTTCCCTCTTGGTTAGCTTTTTTAATAAAAGATTCTATCCCAATGCCCATTTTTAACATAAAACCAACAGGGTGCCTTCAGTTTTAATACTTTTCTGTTACTATTTTCATTGTTTTTATTCTGCTAGTATTTGTTTGACTTCACAAAATAAATGTTATCGCTGCTCAGAATATAATTTTTTTCCCCAATTCTGGTTTCTAGTTTCAGGATTGATAGCTTTAAATGATGATTCTTAACCCACAAAAAACTGGATTGAAAAAGCCCAAATTCACCTACCAGACTATTTCATGCTTTTTTTTTTACTTACGGCCTTGTAGCCATGCAATCAATTACACTCCCATGCCCGTTCTTCCAGTGATCAAGTTTTCAACTGGAACAGGTCAGATGCTTTATAGAGGAGTTATATGCACTTCTTCACCCTTTTCAGAAAGGCACTGATATTGCTTAGTATATGTATTCTGCTGTTTGAGTGGAAATATTGTATTAGTTCTGTTTTGCTGGAAACTAGACTGACTTGTGTGAATGATTTACCATTCTATTGTACCTTCAACAAATGTTTAATACCAAGATTTGATCAGAACTAGTCAGGTAATCTTATTTTCTTAAGGTTCCTTTCTCCAGTGTAAATGAAATGTTGTGGAATGGGAATTACTACCCTTGGTATATTAGTAGACCTTTAAACTTTGCCAGTGAAAGGCAGGGTATCTAAGATAATGCAGAGTATATCTATTTTTAATGTTGGTGGTTACTATTAGAAATAATCCATGTGTAATTGGTTATGATTATTCAGTGTTAATTTCCATTTATTTGATCAGCCATATGATGTTCTCCTGTACTTTAATAATACACTCACTAAATTCTGTTTGCTACTCAGACACAACAGAAATGTTAACATTGTACAGACTGGATTGCAATCTTAATTCTCAAAGACACAAAGAAAGTGATTTTACTCTGCAAAGCATTCTTATTAGGTGACTGTGTTTTAATTGCCAGCCAAGGCACAGTAAGAGCACTCTTGCCTCTGGATTGCAATATGCCATTTCAAAGTTTTGAGCTCATAATCTGCTTGGATAATTGATTGTTCCATTGAAGTAGTACTGCACTTTTGGAGGTGCTGTTTTTTGGGTGTGATATGGTGAATGAGCTGGATGTAAGAGAGCCAGTGATAATATTTGAAAAACAAGGGAGTTTTCTGTGGTGTTTGGACAAATACTTATCCTATAATTAACATCAAAAAAAGATAATCTGGTTAATTGTTTAACTTTTGCTTATGAGATCTTGCTATGGGCAAATTGTCCCAATTGCAATTTTGCAACAGTCACTGTCCTTCACAAGTATTTCATTTACTGTGAAGTGGTTTAGAACATCCTGAGAGCATTATCTCCATGTAAATGTAAATAATTTTCTCCACTTCAAGGACAGTTTTCTGAAATGGAATTAAATTAGCAGCAATGCTGAAATGAAAACTCATCCATCACTCTTTTTCCCTTAGGCATGCCAAAGCGTCTTCCTCCAACCTTTCCTCCAGGTCAGCCTAATCAGATCTTCACTCAAGCACAGATAAACCAAGCTGTTGCATCGGCCACCTCGATGAACAGTGGAATTCTGCAGGCGCAACCCAACCAGAATGTACAACATACAGGTTGTTTTATTTTCTCTCTTTCGGAAGATAGAGTTGGATTAGTATTTGGGCATTGTTCATTGAGGGAATTGACGCAGGATGTGGGTGGTGGGGGCAATTGTGTTCCATGTGAGAAATGATTAAATTCCATTTTACTGGTCATGGAATCAAACATATGATTCATGACATTATTGAAATAGAAGTTTCACCTATGCTGATGTAGGAGTGAGCCATTTGCTTTTAATCATAAGCATGTTTTATTGATGAACAGAGTTTAATTTTTTGCATGAGTTCCAAAAAGGGAAACGTTTCTTCCTCAAATTAATAAAGAAGTTAATGCTGTTGTGCTTTTTGTTTCTAGGTGGTCCAAATAATGCTACTTCCCAAAATCCGATGAATGTACAGTCTCATGGGCCCCCTAACGTAATGCAGGCAAACCTCGTTGGACTTCACGGAAACCTAAACACTCAACAATCTATCAGTGTTCCTCAAGTGAATGTGGGTAATGTGCAAGGGCAGCAGGGCCCCCAATCACAGTTTATTGGGATGCACCAACAGATCGCACCTTCACAGGGACAGATGATGAATGTCCAATCTCAAGGTCTACATCCTGCAAACCAGATGATTATTTCTCGTCCTCAGCTCATCCAGAATCAAATGATGATGGCGGCATCTCAAGGCCATAATATCATTCCATCTGGACAGAGGATGACTCCACCCAAGCAGTTGCATTCTCAACAGGGTCAGCAAATCATGACTACGCATGGGCAAATAATAGGACCTCCAGGTCAAGTCATATTGCAGCAAAGCCAGATGATGGGACTTCCTGAGCAAGTTGTTGTCAGTCAGGTGCAGGGAAACAAACCGGGATTCAATAATCAGAACCAGCAAAATACAATTGCAGGGCCAAGTCAAATAATGAGAGGACCTGCCACAAACACTCAAGGTAATATGGTTCAATTTTCCACACCGATGATCCAGCAGAATCCTCTGAATGGGAATTCTTCTCAAGGGATTGGAATGCAAGGACAAGTACTTAGACCCTCCGTATCTCACCTAACTCAGCAGCATGGTAGTGACCTTACAACGTCAGCCAGTGATGTCAATCTAACACAGATGCTCCCTGATGTACAAATGCAGCAAAATGTAGTTGCTTCTCACATGCAGACAATGCAGGCAGGTAGTTCTGCTGGGCCTCATTTTTCAGGGCATAGCATGCCCTTCAACGCTCCTTATAGCACCACTGCAAGTGGGAGTCCAATGACATTAGCCACTGCCTCTGGTTTTCCAAACAACAAAGATGTCACTCTGACCAGTCCATTGCTTGTCAATCTGCTGCAGAGTGATATCACATCTGCGCAGTTTGCAATGACCAACAAGCAAAACAACCAGAATGCCAACAAGCCCAAAAAGAAAAAACCTTCGCGATCACAGAAGAAAAAGAACAGTGGAGCTCAGCAGCCGGAAGAGCAAATGCAGCATGTGTAAGTTTCTTTTTAAAAGAATGGTGCTCTTCCCTGGGGCATCCTGGACAGTTTTTCTTTGGAGCGTCTGTGGTAGATGTTTTGGCTGGTGATATTGCAAGTTGTTTGGAATCCAAGGAGTCCCTTGTGTTTGAAATGCACACCACCTTGTTGCATTTTAACTCTGTTGTGTTAGTATTGAGCTTGGTCTAAACTTTATTTTTTTCATAATAGTTTTCTTTATTTTCCTTTTCCTGTCAATTTTCTCCCCTGTCTTCCCTTCCTTCCAAAAACATTGACCCTTTGCAGGGATCTAGCTCCACAGGTGCCAAGAGTCTTCTGGCCATTCCTCATGCGTGAGCCGAGACAGTGAGTATCAACAAGCTATTCTACAGTGGGGTCATTGTAACCAAGCCCAATCCTGTCCTTCCCCAACATTTTAACAAGGATCGTAGGAGTGAAATGCTTCCCTATTCCCTCCAGTTAAAGAGGCCAGTTGCACCTTCCTATTGGTTCTTTCCTTCCATTTGGCTGAGATCAGCTAACATCGCACAGATAAGTGATCAAACCTGCAACCTTCTTGATTTCTACCCTTCAGGCTATCACTAACGTAACCAACTGACTCTTCAAGGAAAGTATCACTTCATATTTTTAAGCAAATTGGATTATGATTCATTCTATTCCTCCTGTTCCCCTTCCTTCTCTCGTGGACAGGAAACTAACTGTTTGCTTTGGTCGGAATATGGAAATCCAAATGAAAATACTTAGTGAGCTCAACTTCACTCTTAGCGTCTCAGCCTACCACTGGGTGCTAAAGGTGGACAAATGGGTCAGGTGCTCAATGATCTTCAGCTCCAAATTCAGAAGAAAATCCCTACCCATAGCAATGTGACATTTGCAGTTTCTACCCTATGTATCCTGATGATATGATGAAAGTAGCTATTAAAGTGCACATTTATTTCAAATTCGTTTTGAAAAAATATATGTTTTATTTTGCTTTGGGCTAGATGCATATTTATATCTCTTGCATTTCCTGCACTTCTGCCCTCAAACCCCCTCCCCCCAACAAAAATAAAGACAGAATCCCTTTTGTCCTCACATATTACTCCACCAACTTCCGCATCCAGCGTATCATACTTTGTCACTTCCGCCACCTACAATCTGACCCCACAAGCAAAGAGATATTTCCGTCCCCGCTCCTATCTGCCTTTCGTAGGGACCACGCTGTCTGTGACTCCCTCTACCTCTCCACACTCCCCACTAACCCCGCCATACCCAGCACCTATCCCTGCAAACGCAGGAAGTGCTCACCTGCCCTATACTTGCCCCCTCACCTCCATTCAAAGCCCAACCAAACCGTTCATATCAGACAGGGTTTCACCTGCACATCCGTCAACTTGGTCTACTGTATCCGCTGCTCCCGATATGGCCTCCTCTACATCAGTGAGACCAAGCATAGACTCTGAGACCGTTTTGTAGTGTATCTGTGCTCTGTATGCAGCAAACGACAACACCTTCCAGTCGCCAACCATTTTAACTCCCCCTCCCACTCCCTGGGTGACATGTCCATCTGCAGCGCCTCCAGTGTTACAAAAACACCACCCGCAAACTGGAGGAGCAACACCTCATATTCTGCCTCGGGAGCCTACAGCCCGATGGCCTAAACATGAAATTCACCAGTTTTGAAATCTCCCCACCCCCGGCCTTATCCCATGTCCAACTCTCCCTCTCATCGCCGCCTCCCTGACCTGACACAACCTGTCCATCTTCTCTCCCATCCATCCGCCCCACCCATCCCACTGACTAATCCCCAACCACTCCCTACCTGCACTCACCTATCACCATCCCACCTACCTTCCCCAGCCCCACCCCTCCTCTCTATTTATTTCCCAGTTCCCTTCCCCCTCCCCATTTCTGAAGAAGGGTCCCGACCCGAAACTTCAACTTGCCTGCTCCTCTGATGCTGCTTGGCCTGCTGTGTTCCTCCAGCTCCACACTGTGTTATTTCTGCATATTGAACTGCCTTTTTTCACATTGTACTCCAGTAGCTATAATACAGCATTGGGACAGAGGATTCATATTGAATGATGGTTCAGGCTTGTAGGGCTGAATGGCCTATTCCTCCTAGTTTCTATGTTTAGCAGGGACAGAATCAGGAAAAATTAAATTCTTTGCAAGGAAGTATTAATATTTTCTTTTTACAATATCCAGCAGGTGAGGTATTTCTGTAGTGGAGTCACTAAATATCACACCCAATTTATATGCAACAAGGTTCCAAAATGATCCGATAATTTAATTTTCTGGTGTTGACTGAAAGGTGAATGTTGGCCAGGAAAACTTTGATAGTACCATACAATTTTTTGAATCCACCTAAGAGAATAAGCAGCTCATTGGAAGGATGATACATCCTATAGTTCACAGCCACTTAGGACAACATTGAATATGAGCCTTGTTTGTTCAAATTTCTGTAGTAGGGAAAGACTCCAGACTTGGTTGAAGTCTGAACAATTTCTCACTTCTTTTTCTTTCAATCTACTTTTAATCTCAAAATGATATCACGTTATTCAATCTGTTGATTAATAGATCAATGATAATTATTCTCCAGTTTTCACCATCTTTTCAGGAAAATGACAGACTTCAGTCCTCTGCTTTCTAAGTTTGTTTAGCTGACTGATACCATTGTCTTTTGGGGAAAGTTAAGAGTGGCAGTTTGATGTACAATTCACTTGTGTAATACTTCTAATTTAGCACTTTAAATTGCTTCTACCATTAATTCCAGATTTGTGACACACCATTTTTTTTGACAGTACATTTATTTTCAATGCTTGTACGGACAAAATGGTAGGCAATGGCCTAGTGGTATTATCGCTGGACTATTAATACAGAGACCCAGATATTGTTCTGGGGACCTGGGTTTGAACCCCGCCACGGCAGATGATGGAACTTGAATTCAATAAATATCTGGAATTAAGAATCTAATAATGACCATGAATCCATTGCCAATTGTCAGGAAAAACCCATCTGGTTCACTAAGGTCCGTTAGGGAAGGAAATTGCCATCCTTACCTGGTCTGGCCTACATGTGACTCCAGACCTACAGCAATGTGGTTGACTCTGAACTGCCCTCTGGGCAATTAGGAATGGACAATAAATGCTGTGTGGCCAGCAATGCCCTCATCCCGTGAATGAATAATTAAAAAAAAAAAAATTATTGGTTGTTTATGTGACTAATTTTACATACTTGTCCAAGATTACACTTTACCTTTCTGTTCTTGTTGTTTTCAGACTGCTTATGACTTTCTGATGCTTTCAATTCTACAATATCTAATTATTTTTGATTATTATTGTTCTTCATAATTGGCCTATTATTTTGAAAGAATATTTGTACATCCATATTTTATGGATAGTCTAAATGTCAAGTATTGAAGCTTTGAGATTACTGCAGCCACCTTCATCCAAATGGCCTGCATTCTACAGGTCAGCTTTGAAAGTGCATCTATGTTATATGTCTCCGACACTTGTCAAACCCAGGGAACTGTGGATGATTATTCCATGAAGCAGCCTTGGAAAATGATTCATTTAGATACAGACTAATCATATCTTCAGAAGCACCCTAAATAGTTTTGTATGCAGTAAAGTATTTTGTGTAGGCAAATGAATTATGTATCTTTACCCACCTCTCCCACCTCCCTAAAATCCTTAGTTTGCTGTTGTGTTTCTCATTGGATCTGAACCAGTCAGCCTTACAGTCGCCAATAGGGGCAGCAGGGCTCGATAGAGCTCAGATTGCCAGGTTTAGTTTCAGATCATGACTGCTGAGGAGCCATGTATACATGGATTAGTTCTCCTGAGTTGCCAGCAGCAGTGCTGATTAGACAAATCCCTCATTCCAGTAGACTGCTGCGCAAAACAAAAAAGCTGGAACCCTTCATTCAAGTATGTGATGTGCCCTCTACTACCTTCTAGTTATGCCCTAGGTTTTATGCCCAAATTCTGTATTGGAACTGGTTTGCGACTACTTCAGTTTGGTTCCCAAATTCCCGATGTTGGCCTTAAAAACATATTACAAGTATGAAAATGCAACTTTTCTGTGAGGGTAAAAGTCATGAGCATCCAAATAACAATTTTTTTCATACCTTTGGCAGTATAAATGCTTGCTTTTGCATGCCAGCTCAGGTTTGAGGCCAGCTTTTTTAAAAAATTGACACAATGAAAAATATATGTAGAATATTCCGAGTTTCAAGATCACAGACTCTTCTTGTATTTTTTTCTGTGTTAATGCTTATTCTGACCATTAATAATGCACTGGTAAAATGAAACACTGAAGTTGTATTTTGCTAATTTGGAGAGAAGAATGCACACTAACCTGATAATTAAAGTCCACTATTTCAATCCAAGACAAGGTTTGGGCCATTAACAAGATGATGGAATAAACTATATCATTTTAAGCAACATGACTTGGAAGAGGAGGTTTGAATATAACAAGTGAAAATTATCTTTACATTTCCAGGTCTCTGAAAAATCTGTTCCTGTCCTTAAGTTTCAAATCACTGGTTCATTTCTATAATTCAACCAATCAATTTCTTTGTAGATGCTAATTTTATTTTCTACTATCCTTTTTCCCTTCATTTCTAGTTTACTGCAAGCAATATCTCTTTTTGTGGCTGGTACAATTTACTTGCACTATACTATTTTTCTCCAACTTTCTTGCCCTCTGTCCTGTGAAAAGATATATGTACCTGACAGAGATTGGCTATATTTGATGGTCTATGGTAAATAATTTTGGTAAGTTGCTGAGTTGATTTCATTTGTGATTTGAGTTCTTGAAGAAATTTTGCAAATCACGGTATGTTTCTTTTCCATTGCCTTTCCCTCAAAATTCTGTGGTACTGTTCAACTCTCTGCAGGTTTTCTGGCATAATGTATGAAATAATTTCATTATGTGCCTGGTATAGTAAAACCTTGTCACTTGCTTTAGGATTTCAGATGCCCGTCAGATGCAGCCAGGTCTGGATGATGCTGACCAGCAGCAAATGACAGGAGAGCAAGGGGTAGGACTTGATCCAACAGCCAACAAACTGCCTGAATTTGCAAATCGACCTGCAGGTGAATACTCTTTGTAAGAGGGGCTTGGGTTTTGTTTTAAACAACAGCTTATGTATAAAATACAAGTATGCAATGCTAATTTTGATATATCTCAAAAAAAGTGAATGTGCACAAGTCTGAAGCAACTGGAGGAAAACATTTCAATATTTTAAATGGAATTCTTACAGGTTGCTTTTATTTACGTAGCAGTCATGGTTTATATATAAATCAGAGGTTATTTAGTTTAAATTTTTGGAATTCATGTTTGTGAGATTCAGGAGAAACTTAGGCTTTTGCTTTTTTTTTAAGGATAATGTTTTCAATCTAAGTACTATCCACAGTTTTTTTTTGTTTTACGTGGGAATAGATGCTATTTTCAATAGAAATGAGCAAACTAATTCTCTTTTCCTGTTCTTTTCCTGCCCCCACTACAATCATTCTCCATAGAAACCATGGCTTTAAATAAGGTTTAAAGAACCTGACTTCACGTTATTAATGGGATAGTGATGATTCAAGGATATTAATGTTTTCTAAAATAATTAAATTTTTGTATATAAATTATCATGTGGAAGTACATTTCTGATCCATATTTCTTGTTCCATACAGGATTTCATATGCAGACAGTTGATCAAAGACCTCTGCAACAGACAACTATTCAACCCATGCAGCATTCACAGCAACAGCAACTACAACCCCAGCAACAACAAATGATGATGATGTTGATGATGAAGCATCAGCAACAACAACAACAACAACAACAACAACAGGACACAAAGTCAATTAAAATTCCAATGACGGCAAGTACACATCCATCAAAGACTGCCTTAACTCCTGATGCCTCAAGGATGCCAATGGCCCCAACTGGTAACATGCCAGTCATGGTAACCTTGCCTGGGCAGAGTGGAGTGCCACCCTCACCAGATAAATCAAGAATGCCTTTGTTAGTTGGCCATCAATCTGTCAGCACTCTGAGGAAGATGCCTTTTCAGGAAAGTCTGCAAAATGTCCCATCATCTGTTCCCGAGGAAGTAAATCCAACTACACATCATCCAGATGCAATTGGAGCTGAGCTTCCACTTTCTGTTGGAACCCAAGTTAACTCGGGGCAACAAGCTGTTCCTCCTCCAAATCAAGTACTTATTACTGGCTCTAAGCCAGGGCATTCTCAAATCCCAACACCACAAGGTGGAAGTTCACAACAGCAGGGAACAACTTCAGTGCAAGGCACTCATAATCTTCATTTTCCTAATGCTACCACTAACACCCAGACTTCAAGACCAAAAACACCAAATCGAGCAAGCCCCAGGCCCTACTTTCCTCATACACCCACCAACCGACCACCTAGTACAGAACCTTCTGAGATAAGCTTATCTCCTGAAAGATTGAATGCTTCAATTGCAGGTCTCTTTCCTCCTCAAATCAATATCCTTTTGCCTCCTAGGCAGCCACCTTTAAATAGAGGATTTGATCAACAGGGTCTAAACCCAACCACTTTGAAAGCAATTGGTCAAGCCCCAGCAAGCATGCCTCCACATTCAAATAACCCATCTGTTTCTGCTGCGTCACAAGCAAATAAACTGGATTCCGTTATAGTTAGTTCAGGAAAACAGACAACTGGAAAACGGGCAAGCCCTAGTATCAGCAGGAGAGCAAGCACTAGTTCCAGCAGAAAAACTGGTCAAAATCCAAGTAGACAAAGTGGAAAAGCCTTGAAATCATCACTGATTCCTCAGCAGAACCCAGCACTTTTACCAACCATTGATGTACAAAAGAATATTCTAGCAAACTCTGCACAAATGTTGTCAAATCCCTCTCCTGGAATTTTGAATGATCCTGTCAATGTAGTTTCAGGTGCACAAAATCCAACCATTCCTGTCAGGATATTGGGTAACAATCCTGAAGAAAACAAGGAAGGACCAACATTGTGTGGAAATGATGGTGTGTTGAAACAAATTCCCATTAGTAAAGAACAGATGACCTTTGAATGCAATCCTCCGAGCACAACCAAGTTGGAGAAGAAAAATGCCCCTCAAGTTCAAATAGCTAAGGGAAATAAGCCTTCGGAAGCCAGTAAACCTAGCGGAGGTTGCAATGACAAAAACATGACCCTGCCACCATTAAGAGAAGCTCCAATTTCACTTAATCAGCTTTTGGACACTTCTTGTAGTCCTGGTGTTACCAATAAGGCCACTAATTCCAATCAGGTGGAACAGTTGATACATTCTGGAGATAAACCAAAAGCAGTAACATCAGATACTCCTACTATTAAGGAAACACTTAGTGCGCCAATTCCATCACAGATTGTTTGTGAGAGTGGAAAGGCTGTATTACGACCAGATGCAGGCGAATTAGTTAATGTGACTCAAAGTGGCCCGACAATGGTGCCTACACCGGTGGTGTCTGCATCCATTTCTGTCGCAAATCAGATCACAGTGTTTGTAAGTTCTAGTCCCATTAAATCTACAACGAATGTTATTGCATCTGCACAGATTCAGTCCCAACCTACTGTTGTTTCTTCTGTAGTCACAATGCCATCACAAAATAACAAAGTGGTGTCTGAGGTACAACCGGCAGCGCAGTCTGGTTCACAGCCAGCATTTATCACCGCACCTGTGTTTATAAATACATCTGTATTCCAGGTTGTTAAAGAACCTTTGATACCACAGTCAACCACTGTGCCTAAAGTAACTGTGCCTTCCACTTCTACATTGGCATCTCAGTCAGTTACTGTAATCCAGATACCACAATCTGCTCAGAGCTCATCATGCCCAGCAGTTTCACCTACCCCAGCTGTTAGTAGCTCTGTTATCTCCACCTATTCACCAACGAAAAGAACAGCGATCCAGAGGTCATCACCAGTTCAACCACCATCCAGCTCTCCAGCTCCTCCAAACATCTCCTCAGCATCTCCTCATAGACCAGCAGCGGACTTCAGCCTCAATGAGTGTCTTCAGAATAATGGCATTGTTGACCAAAGTTCTTCAGCTTCATCCCATACAACAGCTGTTGCAACGTCGCCTACATCTACTAGCCCAGGTAGCTCTTCTAGTAGTAGGCGAAGTCCAATATCATCCAACAAAGGAAGAGGGAAGGTAGATAAGATTGGTCAGTTCCTTATGACCAAGGCATGTCAGAAGGCCTCCCCAGATAAAAAAGATGACCCAGTAGCGTCTGATTTGGCTTCCCCAGGTGTTGATGATCAGGCACAAAAAGCAGCACTTCCTGGTAGTCCTGAAGGAGGAGTTCCTCCTACAGAAACCAATCAGATTATTCCTCCAGCTAGTCAATCAGACATAGGCACTTCCGTTAACGTCACACTCGGTACAACTAGCAGCTCTGCTTCTACTGTCTCTGTTTCCTCACCTGGGAGTACATTGAATAGCACTGCTCAAAACAATTTGACGTCAGCCATCACTCCCCAGAACCCTGAGCCTGAATCTGTAGTACCTGTTGGTGATAGCAGTCTTGCAGTCTCACAATCTGAGGGAAGTTGTTCGTCAGGAGAGAAAGTGGGAGCAAATAACGATCACCTACCAAATCCAGGTATCTAACTGGTACTATGCATGTGTTTAAGGATTCTGTGTAAACTAAGCATCAATACACAGCCTTACTCATTTTATTTTTAAACCGACTTCAGCTTAGCTGCCTTGTCTACATTTTTTGAGTTTTATTTCCTAAAATAATTCTGATCCAATTATCTCTGGATACCAGATGAATCATCATCTATCACAGTTCTGCTTGAGACTAACCGTTTTGTTTTTGAGCCAACATTTTAATGCGGATCTTTGATAAATGCAAAATTACTAAATTTAATGTTACTCTTCGGGTCAAATTTAACTTAATCTATGGTTGCACACATCTAAATCTTTCAAACTAGTGTTATGTTTTTGATAACAATGGTGTGATATCTAAATTGTGTGGAGATATTTGAAACTCAGGTGTGTTAGTCACTGCTTGAAACTTAAACCAGAGTACTGCTTTCACCTTTGCAAAATTGGCTGTTGATCCTAATGATTTGGGTAGGTGAAAAATTGGAATATTTCTGCAACACGTTACCTAAAATTAAGTGAAAATATTAGTTATGATGACAAATGTGGCCCAGTTGGTACACTCTCACCTCTGAGTCAGATGATGGTAGGTTCAATTTCCATTCCAGGACTTGAGCACAAAAATCAAGGCTGATTCTCCATTTCATTAATAAAGTTATGTTGCATTTGTGGAGGTACCACTTTTCAGATAAGGTGCTAAACCAGGACTCCACCTGCCTGTCAGGTGAACTTGAAAGGTGTTGTGACACTACCTTTAAAGAGCTGCAAGGGAATTATCCCCAGTGTACTCACCAATATTTATTTCTCAATTAACGTCTCAGAAGCAGTTCACCTGCTCACATTGTCATTTATGGGACTGTGCTGTATGCACCGTGGCAGTAGCATTTTCTGCATTATGACAGTAATTACACTTAAAGTGCTTCATTAGTTATAAAAGCACTTTGAGATACCTTTGTCCATGAGGTGCACTTTATAAATACATATCTTTTTAATTGGATTTTCTCCTTTCTTCGTTTACTTCCATGAAAATTTGATTGTGTGGTGTTTGATTTTCCAAAGCATTTTAAAATACAGTGAAAGCTCGGTAACACATTCAAATGGCTGAACATCCTCCCACTGTTCTGATATTCCCAATTTAAAAAGTAATTTTTTTAAAGGATTTATTGATTTCTCTTTATTCCCTTCTTCCAAACTTTAGAGTTTATTAGAACTTTCACATTGAGTGATGTTCAGGTTGAAGTGTTTCACACTCATAAAAGGAGATTATGATTTTGCATCAAAAACAGAAGTTGCTGGAAAAGCTCAGCAGGTCTGGCAGCATCTGTGACGAGAAATCCGAGTTAACATTTCGGTGCTCAGAGCTCTGATGGAGGGTCACTGAACCTGAAACATTGACTCTGATTTCTCTTCACAGATGCTGCCAGAACTGCTGAGCTTTTCCAGAAACTTCTGTTTTTGTTTCTGATTTACAGCATCCGCAGTTCTTTCGGTTTTTATTTATGATTTTGCATATTGTGGTAATTGATTTGCAGTCCAAAGAACTGTGTGATTTTATTTCTGTGGGCTTCATAGCAAAATGAGAACCAATTGTTCATTTTAAAACGCATTCACTGTATTTTAAGATGTTCTGTACTACTATGCGTGAATAGCATTGAAAAAGGGCTTAGAAAAATTAAAATTACACAAATAAAATTGTACCCATAGCAAATAATTTTTCAGTCACCATGGTTACTTATCAATACAGGCATGATGGGCTGAACAGCCTCTTGCACTGTATCATTTTTTTTTTGTCAACCGAGATGCAGCGTTTTCTCCACTGGTTGGTACTTTATTCATTGTTACCCTGGAAAACATTGGGCATGTTGACGAAGGTCTGTAAAGTTGTAATTATTAACTCACAATCACCAATGAAATTTAAAATGCTGCATTAAAGGAAAAGTATTGAAATGCTAAAAGCCCATTAGAGTACTTTCATCAGGCTGCTGTTGAAATATAAAATCTTTGATCATGATTGGAACCAAGTGAAGACTGAGACTTAGTTGAAGTCTTTAACATTTACAAAGGGTAAGGGATTAAGTAATTAGTGATTATCAATGTAAAACTAGCAACAAAGTAAGAAGATGCAGAATTTTCTTCATTCAGAGGAATTTTGGAACTTGGAATACTTTGTGGATGAAACGTAATTCAGGATGTATTCACTGTATCATTCAAGTGAAAACTAGCTAATTATTTGAGTTTGAGGGAGATACAGTCAATGGAAAAAGAGAGAAGTGTTTACAAGTTTTGAATTGCTTTAACAAAGCATTATTACACACACAGAGCCTCTCTAACATCTCCAAAGCACAAGTCAAGAATGTGATAGAATTCTTCCCAATTGCCTAGATGAGTGCAGCTCCAACAAGATTTAAGAAACTTGACACAATCCAGGTCAAAGCAGCCCACATCCACTGACACACAAAAGTAGCAATATATTCTATCTACAAGATGCACTGAAGAAATTTAACAAGACCCCTTAGACAGCACCTTGCACACCTGCGACCATTACCCTCTAGAAGGATAAGATGAAAAGATATGTGGGAACACTACCACCTACAAGTTATTCTCTAAGCCATTCACAATCATGACTTGAAACTGTATCACCATTCCTTCACCATTGTTGGGTCAAAATCCTGAGACTCCCTTCCTAACAGCATCGTGGGTCTCCATATAACAAATGGCCTGCAGTAGTTCGAGAAGGTCGCTCGCATCTACCTTCTCAAAAGGCAATTAGGGATGCTCAATAAACGCTGGCCCAACCAGTAAAACCCACATATCCTCAATCCACAGAGAAGGACAAGGTGGGCTGTATAGTTAGTTTAGTGTTGTAACTTTGGTTTGTTGAAAATGAGGGGAGGGCAAAGAAAGCTCAGAGGTGAAAGAGGACTTGTAAAAGCATTTTCTTTATGCTACAATTTTATGGATTAGAACAATTTCTAATTTCAAAATAGACATTTAGAAAACCCTGGTCCTAATCCAGGTATCCTTCTAAGTCACCCTTGAAAGCATCCATCTGATTTAACACCTATTGATGAAAATACCTTAAATGTTTTGTAGAATTTACACCATGGAAAGGTCCATAGTGATTTTTTTTTAAGCCCAATACATGCCTCCTCCCACCTGACCCTATATGCCTAAATGGCATTGCCTTTTATTTCCTTTCTCACTCACATTTATCTGATTTCCCATTAATGCAACTGTGCTGTTTGTCCAAATGACTCAATAATGGCGAGTGGATAGGTTAAAAAAAAAATTCTTTGCATTTCCTTATAGGATATAACAGTCACCATATATTTTAGAGAATGGAGCGATGGTGATGGCATAGTAATGTCAGTAGACTAGTAATCACAAGGTTCAGGCTAGTGCTGTAGGGGATGTGGGTGCAAATTCACAACAGTGATGGAATTTAATGTTAATCAATAAAGTAAAATCTTGATTATCTAAGCTAGACTCCATAACAATGCCATGAACATTGATTGATGTTGGGATGAAATCTGTCAAACCTAAATAGAACAAAGAATTGTAAGTGCTGGAGATCTGAAACAAAGGCAGAAATTGCTGGAGAGACTCAGCAAGTCTGGCAGCATCTGTGGAGAGAAAACAGTTAATGTTTTGAGTCCAGTGACTCTCCTTCAGAATCTGTCAAGCTTATCTTGTATGACACGTGACACCAGACCTGTAGCAATCTGGTTGATTCTGAACTGTTCTCTGAAATGGCCTCAGAAACCACTCAGTTCAAGGATAATTAGGAAATAGCAACAAATGCTGGCCTACATCCCATGGAAGAATAAAAAAAAAATCTGAGATAACACAGTGTGGAGCTGGAGGAATACAGCAGGCCAAGCAGCATCAGAGGAGCAGGAAAGTTGACATTTCGGGTCAGAATCCATTAGTGAAGAGGGGTCCTGACCCGAAATGTCAACTTTCCTGCTCCTATGATGCTGCCTGGCCTGCTGTGTTCCTTCACCTCTACACTGTGTTGTCTCTGACTCCAGCATCTGCAGTTCTTGCTATCTCTGGAAAAAAAAAATCTTATCTTTTATTTGTGTCTTCCAGTGACCTCTTCTGTTTTTTGTCCTTTCAGATTTTCTTTTGATTCTTCCTCTGATCCAGTCTTTCTTTGGGACCATTAGTTAAGCTCTATCTTCAGCTCATACTGTTGCAGCTTTCCACTAAATTATACCTTTTGCAATTTGCACTGACCTGGCTGCACAATGCTGTGATATTGTGGCATTGCTTCCTGGTTGAAGCTTTTTGGGAGAATCTATTTTTCCTTCTCTATTCTTTAAGTCCCGAATCTGCCTTATGTTTATCCCGTTGAGCATGGGGACAATGACTCACATTTTGGAGAATGATTAAGTATGAGTTTCAAGAGAGGCTGGATTTTTTTCAAGCTGGTTTCTTTGTCTGTGTGCATGGCAGTCAAGTGAAATGGAACTGTATTCCTATTGAACTGTTTCGTAATTTTGTTTGGCCACTGAATATAACTTTTGGCCACAACATTTACTTCCAACTAAGTAAATCTGAATGTTCTACATAAACATTGAAAAACGCAGATATATAAAGAGATGACAAGGTGTAGAGCTGGATGAACACAGCAGGCCAAGCAGCACCAGAGGAGCAGGAAGGCTGACGTTTCGGGCCTAGACCCTTCTTCAGAAA